GGGATTCATACCCTCGGCAGTCTGGTTGCAAGTCTGTGCTCTTAACTCCTGTGCTATGCTGCCTCTCACGTACTCGGCACATGAACGCGTTTAGGAAAACAGAGGTTGCAGCTATAAAGTGCCGCTACGGCACGAAGGGCCGAGTTTAATAATGCCAACGCGTGCAACCAAAATCAATCCGCCCACTGCAAACAGAGCCAATGTTTCTTCTGGGCTCTCATCTGCGGTACTCTCAGGTGAGAAAGTTGATGCTAATGTGAAGCTTAGGGTTCAGGACAGTAACTAAGAGATTTCATGAGATGTGCGACAGGACTTGAAAAATAAAAATCCAATTCCCATCCTCATCCCTCTCGGCCACTGCTCAAAGGATCTCTAATGTGCAATCAGAGGAGCCGCTGCTGGCGATTCTTTGCGGAGCCACAGTCCTCACTACCAGGCTCACTGAGAAAGAAATCCGTTTGTAAGCACAACACACACGACTTTTTTCTTACTAATTTAAATGTTAAAGTCTAAAATGTTTTCAGAATTGATTTTTTCTTCCATGACGGACACGTACAATTGACTGAACTATGGAGCACATTCAGCCCAGGGCCAAAGCCTAAGAGTCCAGAGAAAGGTCTCCAGACACCTCCTCAAAGGGGAGAAGGCCACAGAAGGTCTTGCAGCGCCAAAGGTCCAGGACCAGACGCTGACACCGCCCTCAGCAAGGGACGTAATAGCCAGGGAGAGGGGCTGGCTATGGCCCAGCCAAGGCCTGTGCAGTTCTAACGCATGCGCGTGCACAGCGCTGGCCGCTGCCCTCTGAATGAGGAGCAGCTTCCCTGCCTGGGACGCTCATCTTCTGTCTACAGGCTTTCTTTCCACAGTCATGACAGTGGCAGGTTGTTGTCACGTGCCATTGGGTTGATTTTGAGTTATAGCGACCCCATGTGACAGAGAACTCTCCCATAGGGTTTTCTTGGCTGCAATCTTTAAGGAGATCACGAGGTCTTCCTCCGGTAGAGCCTCTGGGTGGGTTTGAACCGCCAACCTTTTGGTTAGCAGCCAAGTGCTTCACCGTTTGCACGACCAGGGGCTGGAAGGTCGACGGTGGCGTTACTGCAGCGTGGTGCAGACCAAGGGCAGGACTGGAAAGCATTTCCAGAGCTCAGTGCAGAGTCTTTCACCGCTCAAGAAACCCACTTCCCACCATCTCCAAAACATGGCAGGCAACAGTTAAGAGGAGAAATAAAAGACTCTTTATTGCTACTTCTTACCCACGCGGTCTCTGACCTTAGACCCACAGAAAAAAAAACCACTGTCAACCCCAATGGTAGAATCCCACACTTGTACACCACTGCTCACGGAAGGGGAACTAGGTTTTGGAGCCAGGACTGGACTGGACTGGTGTCTCCTAAGTAAAAGCACTTCAGGGTGTGTTCCCTGCACAGCCAATCCTCCTTTTTCATTTCGGAAATGGAAGCTGAGAGGCCAGAGGTTCCAGGAAGGGACCTGCCTGAGCACCCCCCACAGGAAGTCCAAGGCAGAGCTGCTCCAAGAACCTGGGACTGGGGGTCTCTGCCCTCTCCCACCAGCTCAGGCCAGCTTCTCCATCCAAAGACTTCAGAGAGGACAGGTGACAATCCTCCATTTGAGACAGTACTTAGCATTATGCTTTCATTCAATTGGGAAATTTGGCTGCAGGGTTTAATCTTAATTACTTTCCCTTATCTATTTCCCTCTACACTGGGTCCCAGCATAACTCAGGGAGGGACCTCACCACAGCCCCCTTCTAGCCTGGGGCAGGGGATGGGGCCGCCACCAGACAGTTTACCCCAGTTGCCCTGGGACAGCCCCAATTTACATCCGCATGCACTTTCACTCTCAAAAGGGTCTCAGTTTAGATAATCAATCCTAACAGCTCTGGGGGCTCCCAGCATCAGACCACGCAGTGTGATGGGATGGAGAACGCACAGGACTAGAGATGAGGAGAGCCTTAGTCCTGTCCAAGAAATCTGGGGGCAGATATTGATGGCACACACACGCACCAAGACTGTGCTTGGCAAGTGTGAGAAACACCACGGTGGCCAGCTGGTGGGGCTGGACTACAGAGGAGCATGAAGAGGGAGAAGAGGTCAGAGAGGAAGGCACGGCCTCACCGACCGGAAGAAGGACTTTGTTGTTTATTCCAAATGACATGCAATGCCACAGTATTGTGGGCAGAGGTCTAACAGGCTCTGATTTATATTGTAACAGGACCACTTCACAGCTGTCTGGAGAAAAGACTGAAGGCGGAAAGGCGTGGGAACAGGAGGCTATTATGACATCTGTGTGAGGGATGACGGCAGCTTGGACTCGCTGAAGTCGGAGGAGTGAGTGCATTTGGATCTGTTTTTAAGGTGGAGTCAACAGCACGCAGGGTAGAGGAAGAGAAGCCAAGGATGATTCCCAAAGGTTTATCACCTGGACAACTGGAAATACGGCCACGTGTGTCATGAGATGGAGAAGAATGAGGGAAAGGAAATCAAAAAATTCATTTTGGGCATGCTATATAGAGCCCGGCTGCTAACCAAAATGTTGGCAGTTCGAATCCACCAGCTGCTCCTTGGAAACCCTATGGGGCAGTTCTACTCTGTCCTATAGGGTCACTATAAGTTGGAATCGATTCAACAGCCACAGGTAAATTTGAAAATACCCTTTCTCCACCAAAGCGCGCCAGCCCATCTGTGTACTAGGAATGGGTTTACCGACATGCCTGAGGCTTTGATCCTCTCAGCCCCTGGGCAGCTGCGTAGCACCTGAGGCAGCCTGCATTGGCTGGGTGGGGTGGAAAGGTGCTTGCACTAGAGGGCCACGGTCTGGGTTCTGGTCTGGGCTTCTCTTCTCTTGGCCTCAATTCTGCATCTGTGAAATGGGCTGGGGACTGTGGACTGCTGGTTTTTCTGAGGGACTTTCTTTTCCATGGGAGAGGCTCAGAAAATACTTGTCCACACTGAACACTTTCAATCTTCCCAGCATCTCTGAACCAGGGAAAATGACCGCCTTTTCTCTGAAGAACAAGGAACTGACTTAAGGTCACTTCACTAGTAAGAAAGAGTCAGGCCTTGAACCCACACTTTCCAACCTCATACACCCTGAGTATCAACAGTGACAACAAGCCACCACTTCAGTGAGCACTTACTCTGTGTTGTTTACTGGGCCAAGCATTTCACAGGCAAGATCTCATCCTCACTTCAACCTGCAAGGTAGGTATTATTATCCTCATTTTTCAGCAGAGGAAACCAAGGCTCTGAGAGGTTTGCATAACTTGCCCAGGGTCACACAGCATAGAAGGTAGCAGAGCTGGGATCTGAATCCAGGTCTGCAGCCCAGGATTATTCTCCTCACCACCTCCTACCACCTCTCTGCTGCTCTGAGCTAAAGATGAAGGCTGAGCCAGCAGATAAGCCATCCCCAACGAAGCAAAGCTCCCTGGGGTCAGTACTGTATTTTCTTAAATGACAAAACCACAGGTGGGCCATCTCTCCACATCTGCTGCTCTAATTCACACTCTGACCATGTGCTCAACCCAGAGAGCCACTCTGAGGACACAAAGTGAGGCTTTTCTCACCCTCCTCCTATGAAGGAAAATAAGTGTCAAGAAACCCTGATCTCTCAGTGCAACTACTAACAGGCTGGCAAGGTACAGCTTCCCCTCTACCTGGTAACCCGCTCCGACTCATAGCGACCCTATAGGACAGAGCAGAACTGCCCCCTCATGGGGTTCCCAAGGAGCAGCTGGCGGATTCGAACTGCTGACCTCTTAGCAGTCATAGCTCTTAACCACTGTGCCACCAGGGCTCCTTCTACATGGTAAGAAGACGATTCTGCATAGTTGGCGGACCCATCTGATATGATCTAGAGCCCTGATGTGTGAGTACACTAATATCCATGTTGTGGCCAGGTAGACAAGAGACACTCAGGAAAGATGGAACTCACACAACACAATCACGGAGACTCTGGGCTAATGGGGACCTTTAAGGTATGCCAATGATCACTGCGAAAAGGCCATTAAACTGCTTAAACCTCTTGAGCGACGGCACCCTCACTACCTAGAGGCAGCTCATTCTGTTTTTAGAATCACACGCATCTAACCCACTCCCCTCATTTAGAGAGGAAAAAAGAACCATAGGCCCCATTCTCAGAAGCATGAGGTCTTCTCTACTTAATTATTTTCTTTCCAAATAACAGTCTTTCAAACAGGCTGCAAAGTGGTAGCCTGTGCGCTAAACCTGACTGGCAGGTGCATTTTATTTGGCACAGATTATATTTATAGTAGATGTAAAAATCCTTATTTCATGTAAAAATCCATAACTCCAGCTTCTCTTAAAATGGAAAGATTCCACAAGACTGGGCCCACATTTCAACAGGGCTGCAACTGGCCACAGGAGTCCCTAGGTGGTGCAACGGTTAAGTGCTTGGCTGCTAAATGAAAGGTTGGAGGTTCGAGTCCACCCAGAAGCACCCTGGAAGAAAGCCCTGGCAATCTACTTCCAAAAAATCAGTCACTGAAAACCCTATGGAGCACAGTTCTACTCTGACACTCGTGCGGTCACCAGGAGTGCGCTCTATGGCAACTGGCTGCAGTTGAGAAGCAGATGTCCGTTTCTGATCGATATACAAGCTCCAGTTTGCCACAGTCCCCTCCACTCTCTTTAATTTAGATTCAATTTAGACAACCCTACCCACTGCAGTCGATTCCATTCAGACTTACAGCGACCCTATAGAACAGAGTAGAACTGCCCCATAAGGTTTCCAAAGCTGTAATCTTTGCAGGGACAAAGATGTGGCAGTTTGCTTCCATAGAGGTTACAGCCTTGGAAACCCTATGGGGCAGTTCTCTGTCCTACAGGGTCGCTATGAGTCTGAATCGACCGACCGCAGCAAGTTAATCTTCACAGGAACAGATCGCCAGGTCTTTCTCCCGCGGAGCCACTGGGTGGGCTCCAACCGCCAATCTTACAGCTGCAATCTTAGCAGCCCAGCGCTTGAGCGCTTAAACGTTGCGCCACCAGGGCTCCTTTAGGATTATTCCACTGGGCCCTAGAGCATTCAAGGTTGACACTCCCTTTTTAAAAACTGTCAGGCCAACAAAATGCATTTAAAGAGGGTCAGGGGATTCGAACCCGAGTCACTGCATCACTGCCAAGTGTGACCGGGAGCTGTGCTGGGCGACTCCGAGGCCTCTGCAAGGCAGGATCGGGTATGACCTGGCCTGGGGCAACCTGACAGGACAGGTGAACTTCCGGGCCGCCTGGACCAGACAGCGGCGGCCTCGGGACCCTGCCCGACTCTGCCCCTCACGCCTGTGGGCCGGATGTCCTCCTCTGCACCGTGGGCAGCGATACCTACCTGGGGGCTGGCGGGGCTCGCGCGGGCTGAGAGGGGACTGAGCCCTGCACGGTGCCTAGTCAGAGGGCACGCACCTCGCTGACCCAAGGCAGAGGTTGCAGGTCCAATGACATCGGTGGGCACCCCGCACCACGTGCCCACGCCGCGGGGACAAGGAACACTCCAACCCCGGAGCGTGGGACCTCCCTCTGGGTTCAGCTGGGAGCCCGCGCATGCGCGCCGACAGCCAGGTCACGGAGCGGGCGAGGCGGAGGCTGGGCGGTTCGTACCACTATGCAAAGGGGTGAAGTAGCCTTGGAGGGAAGGAAGGAGAAGAGAAAAAGAATTTGGTCCCGAAAGAGCCACGAAATGGACTTAATTCTGAAAATTACGGCTCTGGAATCCAGCTGAGGCACTGGGGCTGGCTTCGGCTCAGCTCTGAGTTTCTTCGCAATCTCCCATCCCACCCGTGGTGAGTGGGTCGGTCCGGAAAGTCAGGGGCGTGGACGTTGCTCAGACGCTGTGCGTGGGGAGGCAACATGGCGTCCAGGTCCAAGAGGCGTGCGGTGGGGAATGGTGCTCCGCGGCCGCCGGGCTCCCAGCTCCAGCGCGACGAGGAAGAGGAAGATGAAGTCGAGGATGAGAAGGAAGACAGTGACGAGGAAGACAGTGACGAAGAAGACGACGAGGTCGTTGACGAGGTGAGCAGCACCCGCTACCCCAGTTTGTTTATATCCGGGAAGAAACTGGGGCCGTCAAAGCCATGTGGAAACTGTGTGAGCTGCTTGGAGGAGCGGCTTCGCCGTCCCCGAGAATCTGGAGGCAGAAACTGGGGATGATAACTTCTTACTGAAGTCCCACTTCAGTCTTTTCCACACTGCAGCCACAGTGATTATTCTCGAAACACCTACCCTAGCCTTGTCATCCCACCTCCATCCCAAAAGAAGAACCTGTCACAGCAAAAGGCATGAATTGTTTTCCATAGTTCTCAGGCCAAAGCTCCAAATCCCTCATAGGCCACCAAGGCCCGCCAAGTTTGTCCTCTGCCTAACTCTTCCGCAGCTCTGCACGTTCACGCTCCACGCTTCAGCCACACTAGCCCGATTTCAGCTTCTACCCTGTAGGCATACAAAGGAGCCCTGGTTGCCAGTGGTTAAAGTGCTCAGCTGCTAACTTAAAGGTCAGCGGTTCGAACCCACCAGCTGCTCCATGGGAGAAAGATGTGGCAGTCTTCTTTCATAAAGAGCACAGCCTTGGAAACCCTGTGGGGCAGTTCTTCTCTGTCCTGTAGGGTCACTATGAGTTGGAAAGGACTCGAGGGCAATGGGTTTTTTTTGTTTTGTTTGTTTGTTTTTTTATTGTACTTGAGGTGAAGGCTTACAGAACAAATAGTTTCTCATGAAACAGTAGTACACATATTGTTTTATGACATTGGTTAACAACCCCACAACATGTCAACCCTCTAACTTCTCAACCTTTTTTTTGGTGAAAATACACATAGCCAAAGATACACCATTTCAAAAATTTCTACATGCACAGTTGAGTGATATTGACTACGCTCTTCCAATTGTGCTGTTATTCTCACTTAAGATGAAGGCTTAAAGAACAAAATAGTTTCTCATTTAACAGTTACTACACATGTTGCCCTATGACAATGGTTAACAATCTCACAACACATCAACAATATCCTTACTCAACCTTGGGTTCCCTATCACCAGCTTCCTTGTCCCCTTCTGACCCTTGTTACTGGACTACTGTACCTCGTTAGTCTCGTTTGGTTTTACGGGGCTGTCCACTCCCCGGCTGAACGTTGAACCTCAGAGATAATTTCACCACTGAGCTAAAAGGGTGTCTTGGGGCCATACTCTCTGGTTTCTCCAGTCTCCTTTAGGCCAATAAATCTGGTCTTTTTTTTTGTGAGTTAGAATTATGTTCTGCATCCTTCTCCAGCTCTGTCCAGAACCCTCTGTTGTGAACATGGTCAGAGCAGTCAGTGGTGGTAGCCGGGCACCATCTAGCTGTACTGGCCTCAGTCCGGTGGAGGCCTTGGTAGCTGTGGACCATTAGTCCTTCGGACTAATCTTTTCCTTGCATCCTGTTCTCTTCGTTCTCCCTTGCTCCCAAAGGGATGAGACCAGTGGAGTATCTTAGATGGCCGCTCACAGGCTTTTAAGACCCCAGACACTACTCACCAAGGTAGAATGCAGAACATTGTCTTTATAAACTGTGTTATGCCAGTTGAGCTAGATGTTCCCCAAGACCATGGTCCCCACAGCCTCGAGGGCAGTGGTTTTTTGTTTTTGTTTTTAATTAGGCATTCAATGGTCTTAAGGGTCATCCAGCCCTAATTATTCATTCAACAGATATTAAGTACTTAATGCCAGCTGTGGAGCCCTGGTGGCGCAGTGGTTAAGAGCTCAGCTGCTAACCAAAAGGTCAGCAGTTTGAATCCACCAGCCACTTTTTGGAAATCCTGTGGGGCAGTTCTACTCTGTCCTATAGGGTTACTATGAGTCATAATCGACTCGATGCCAGCAGCTTTTGAATGCATAACAGGGACCTCAAACTTAACCCATCCAAAGCAGAGCTCGTGGTCCACGCACCTCCTCTCCTAGTTTTCTCCGTCTCTGTAAAGAGTCCTCAAATGCATCAGTTGCTCAAACCCACATCTTGGGAGTTAACTTTAATACCTCCCTTTTCCTCACTCCACATCCAGTCCATCACTAAATCCGGTTCGTGTCCCCATACTTCTCATTGATTCTACAACCATCACAGTCCACACATCATTGCTCAACAAATGTTTTTTCAATGATGTCCCTTCTAAATTACTTACCCTTTCTGAATCCTATTCCCTTATCTGTAAACTGAAACAAACATCTACCTGACAGGGTGATTGGAAGAAGTGAGTGAGAGGACATAGGAAGCATGTGGGGTAGTGCCCAGCACACGGTAACCGCTTAGTAGATTGTTTTTTCCTCCCCTTTGCTATTGACTTGACTCTGACTCATTGCAGCCCCATGTGTGTCAGAGCAGAACTATGTTCTGGGGGGTTTTCAATGGCAGGTTTTCAGAAGTAGATCACCAGGCCTTTCTTCTGAGGTGCCTCTGGGTGGAGTTGAACCACCAACCTTTCAGTTAATAGCTGCACGTTAACCCATTATTACATCGTTATATAATATATAGTAATACGCTTATTTCATTTTGCTTGGATTTCATTTTACTTGGATCCACAATCAATGCCTATGGAAGCAGCAGTCAAGAAATCAAACGACGTACTGCATTGGGCAAATCTGCTGCAAAAGACCTCTACAAAGTGTTAAAAAACAAAGGTCACTTTAAGGACTAAGGTGTGCCTGACCCAAACCATGGTATTTTCAGTTGCCTCATATGCATGCGAAAGCTGGACAATAAATAAGGAAGATCAGAGAAGGTTTGATGTTTTTGAATTATGGTGCTGGTGAAGAATATTGAAGATACCATGGACTGCCAGAAGAACGAACAAATCTGTCTTGGAAGAAGTACAGCCAGAATGCTCTTTAGAAGCGAGGATGGTGATACTTCGTCTCATGTACTTTGGACATGTTATCAGGAGGGACCAATTCCTGGAGAAGGACATCATGCCTGGTAAAGTAGAGGGTCAGTGAAAAAGAGGAAGACCCTTAACGAGATGGATTGACTCAGTGGCTATAACAATGGGCTCAAGCATAGCAAATGTTATAGATTGAATTGTGTCCCCCAAAAATGTTTATCAACTTGGCCAGGCCATGATTCCCAGTATTGTGTGGCTGTCCACCACTTTGTGATCAGATGTGATTATCCTATGTGTTGTAAATCTTAACCTCTATGGTGTTAATGAGGCAGGCTTAGAGGCAGTTATGTTAATGAGACAGGACTCAATTTACAGGATTAGGTTGTATCTTGAGTCAGTCTCTTGAGATATAAAAGAAAGAATATAGCAGGAGGATGCTGACCTCATACCACCCAAAAAGAAGAGCCAGGAGAACAGCGCGTCCTTTGGACCCGGGGTCCCTGTGTTGAGAAACTCCCAGACCAGGGGAAGATTGATGACAAGGACCTTCCCCCGGAACCAACAGAGAGAGAAAGCCTTTCCATAGAGCTGGCACCCTGAATTTGGACTATGAACCTCCTAGACTGTGAGAGAATAAATATCTCTTTGTTAAAGCCATCCACTTGTATTTTTCTTACAGCAGCACTAGATAACCAAGGCAGCAATGATAGGAGGATGGTACAGGACCAGGCAGTGTTTGGTTATGTTGTTCATAGGGTCACTGTGAGTCGGAACCCACTCGACATACCTAACGACAACAACAGACGCTCTTATTATTTCCCACTTGCAGATTCTGTGATGTGCAAAGTACAGGGGAGAAAAGGGTGAAGAAGGAGTGAGGCTGGAGGGGGAGGATATGGAATGTGTGGATGCAGGCTCAGGGGTGAGGCTGGTGTGGGCATAGGATACATCCTCCTGTGAACAGAGCCTTCCCTTACAAATCAGCTCTTTACGTTGCCCCCTTGCCTTGACTATGGCCTCACCACTTTCCGCTTAGAAGGACTTTGGCTATTTTGCCAATTTGGGTTATTCCAATCAATGTTGCTTGCATTAACATGGGTAATCTTTTATCAGACTGCCAAAGATTAAAATTGTACGTAATAACCATCGTTGACAATAGCTTAGGGAAATAGTGACTCATATATACTCTGGGTGAGGGAGTATAAATTGGTGCATCTTTTTGGAAGGCAACTTGACAATATCTATCAAAATTTAACATGGATATACTCCCTGATTCAGTAATTCTGTTTGTAAGAATTCACCGCCCAAAGAGGATAATAATACTTGCTCTTCCAGGCTCTCTGCGCTTTTTGTTAACTCATTTAATGCTCACATCAACCCTGGGAAGTTAGGAATTATTATTCCCATCTTACAACCACGATGACACAGCAGGCTAACTGAAAACAGCGTGTGTAGTGCATCTTTTATGTGGGGGAAGGAAGAAACAAAATATATTTGATTACGTGTAGAAAGCGTCTCGAAAGGATAATTTACTACTGACAGCGGGAACCTCTGGAGAGTGGAGGGTGGGTAACAAGGCTTTTTTTTTTAACTTTATAGTCCTTGCACTCTGTCTTAGTCATCTAGTGCTGCTATAACAGAAATGCCACAAGTGGATGGTTTTAACAAAGAGAAGTTTATTTCCTTACAGTAAAGTAGGCTAAAAGTCCAAATTCAGGGTGTCAGCTCCAGGGGAAGGCTTTCTTTCTCTCGGCCTTCTCATCAGTGTTGCCCCAGACTAGGAGATTCTCAGCACAGGGACCCCGGTCCAAAGGATGTGCTCTGCTCCCAGCACTGCTTTCTTGATGGTATGAGGTCCCCAACTCTCTGCTTGCTTCCCTTTCCTTTTATCTCTTATGAGATAAAAGGTGGTGCAGGCCACACCCCAGGGAAACTCTCTTTATATTGGATGTGACCTGGGTAAAGGTGGTGTTACAATCCCACCCTAATCCTCTTTAACATAAAATTACAATCACGAAATGGAGGCCAACCACACAATTCTGGGAATCATGGCCCAGCCAAATTGATACATTTTTTGAGGGACATGATTCAAACCATGACACACTCTTTGTAGTTTTTACCATTGGCATGTATTACTTTTTCGACTGAAAAATTTGTCAGAGCTTCTGGCAGAGCTCCCTGTCCTCAAGCCGTGCTTAGTGCTCCCTCTCTTCATTTTCTGAGCACTTTACAGATCCACAACCCATTCCCTGATGTCGAAATCCCACAAAGATTAGTTTGAAAGTTCAGTCTGCCTCGGATGATTTTTGAAACAAGATGGTGTGTAAGAAGGAGGTGCACATGGTTATGTAGTGCCCTGAAGAGACCGAGGGAAGGTGCGGACGGCTCAGCGGCGGTAGAAGTGGTTATGCGAACCTCAGGGAAGAGAGACGGGGACAGTGAACGGTGAAGAACGGGTGGGCATGTTTAGTTAGGGTTCTTGTACATGGGTGATGAGGGCTTTTGTTTCTTTTGTGCTTAATAGCATCCCATTGGAGGTAGGCAGAAAGGGGAACTTGTGATAAGGATTCCAAGGTATCTTGTAGACCCCAGGGGTGGGAAGGCAGCTGGGCTCAGGAATCCCGGGGTCCCTGGCCCTGGAGTGCTGTAGAGAACGCGAGAGGTCCTTCTCAGTTTTCATCTCTGCTTTATGTTTCATTTACTCTTCTCTCTCTCTCGTATTTTACTCTTCTTTTAAATCCAAAATATTTGGTTTTCTTTTCCATTTTTACTCCATATAGCAGAAAATGGGAAACACCAACAGCTTCTGACATTTTCACTCAAGACGGCAACCAGTCTGTGATGCGTTCAGTCATGATGCTAAAGTCTAAATCACCTTGGGGGTGAGGTGCAGGGGGTGAGAGGCAGGGTTCTGATTTACAAACATGGCTCCTTCCGTGGAAACCATGTGGATGGGGGGGCCCATACCAAGGAACCAGGTGTCCATTGGTGTCCATTGCAGTCACGGTGCTGTAATAGCCTGGGGTATGGACAGGCCAAAGGCTTCTGTATAGACAAGGAAAAAACACTAGAAGCAGAGCATTATTTAAAGAGTGTATTTATTTCTAAGGAATAAATTCGAGACCTGAACACTGACAGTGTGTTTGGTTTAGTCTGAGCCTGTTCAGACATCTCCCCCTCCCCCCAGGTTTTGCTGTTCACGTGACCTGGCTTCAGAGAGGTGGGACTTGAGGTCCGCAGGACATGATATCCAACGGCCAAGGGACTGTTCAAGTAGATCCAGAGTCAGGATGGCAAGGCAACAAAAGTGGGTCTGATTTCCCTCTTTGACCCCCTCAAGCTAAGATCCAAGTTCTGGAAGCTGGAAAACTTGAAGTGTGTAAATGTTCTATTTAGTCATTGTCACTCCTGTACGACTCAGAGCCCTCAAGGACTAGCTTGTGTAGTGTTTAAAAGCATCTAAGCTTTCGTTTTTGGCATGAAGTAGCACTTCCACTTATTTCTGGGATATTTCAGCGGCATCTTTTCTTAGGTTCTGTTGTTGTTTTGCAGAGAGAGGTCAGGAAGCCCAGCCACACACACCTTCCTCTGGTCCCTTCTACCCGCCATGTTTCCTCCTGCCTCAGGGCCTTAGCATGTGCTCTTCCCTGTGCCAGGAACTCTCTTGTTCTCAGTGCCCTGCTCGAGTGTCACTTCCCTCAGGGAAGCCTTTCCTGACCCTCCTGCCTGGCCCCGTTTTTTAAGCCGTTCAGCGCTGTGCATCTTTGTTTTATAGCATGCGTTGTTGTAACTTTACATTTATTTCCATGAATATTTCCTTAATGTCTATATTCCCGCCTAAACCATAAGTTCCTTAAGAGCAGAATCATTAATGATTGCTTTGCTTACAACTTTATCTCGAGTGCCTGGCACAGTGCTTGGTACTTGGTGAGACTCAGTGACTATCTGCTAAGTGAATGGGCCCATTAAAAAAAAACAGCAAACTCATTGCCGTCAAGTTGATTCTGACTCACGTAGCCTCAGATCCATGGGCTACATCAAGCTCCAGGCAATTCCAGGTACTTTTGAAGTTCTTTTCTCACCTTTATTGCAGACCAGTAAATAATAATTTCTTCTGTATGGCTGCTGTGACTGTTTCATCAAGGGCAGACCTCAGGAGTTAGACTGGGTCCTGCTGAGTGAGGCTTTTGTGTAAAATGAGGAAATGGTAGGAAGGAGCTTTGTAATCTAATCTGTAAATAGAATCTACAGATGGCAATTTTGGTGATGTTTGCCAATTTCAAAATCTAGACATTTACAGTTCTTAAGTTTTAACCTTTTTTCGTCCTGCCCCTTCTGTGTCATCTTCTGTGGATGAACTAATAGGTAGGGAAAGAGCCAGAAAGAATGGAGATGGAGGAAAAAGAAACAGACGATCCTCAGAGTGGAAAATAACGTCGGAATTAGCTTAGACCATTGTGAATGACAACTATTTTGTGTGTTACTTATAGGAAGTGAATGTTGAATTTGAAGCTTATTCCATCTCAGATACCGATTATGACGGGATTAAGAAATTACTACAGCAGGTATTGTCTTTTACTTTTATATATAAATTTGCTCTTCTCAGACAATCCATTAAACATAAGCTCTCTCAAGTTTCATCCTTTCAGAATTACCGTTTCTATCCTCTCTGCCTGCCTTGGAGGAAAGAATTGCCTCTCTTCTTTTCGAGGGCTAACTCTTCTCTTGGTGCTTTTGCTCCCAGACCCCTTCCTCTGATTATTTAAATATTCTGTGTCCCAAAATACCCTTCCTTTTGTCTGCTAATTACTTGAACACTATTCTGTTTTTTTCATGTTCACATCCAGATTTTGTGGGGTAGGGGAATTCTTACAGAACAGCCGTCTAATTGACTACACTGTCCGCTGCTACAGAACTGATGCTTGCTGCATCTGCTTTTTCCTTCACCCCAGATACTGTGGCTCGGGTTCTCTGCCCTTCAGAGCCTCCTGGGTCCTAGTCCCCAAAGTCTTTGAGCTCATGTCCATCCTCCTCTCTCTGTCCTCCATGCCCTCTGGATTACCACTGTCACCCTGTCCCTGAAGTTCTGATACCTGTAGCTTCTGGGGCTCTCCTGGGCCTCCCTCTTTCCTCTCTGGATTGCTTTTCTAGGTCTTCTTGGTCATTTCATTGAGATGTCATGATTTTTATTTTAATGTAGAAATTAGAAATTTTATTGGAAATCATACTTTGATTTAAACCTAAAATATTTTTTTCTCCTTTTAGCTTTTCCTAAAGGCTCCTGTAAACACTGCAGAGCTAACAGATCTCTTAATACAGCAGAGCCACATCGGGAGTGTGATCAAGGTAAGCAGGACAGTGTGCTTATTCCATCTAGCCTGCTAATAGCCGGCAGGCCCAAAGTGCAAGTGTGGCTGTTCTCTGGCGTTTGGATAGGAAGGAAGTGTGACTGGAGGAAGGGAGACTAGTTAGAGGGCCGTGGCAGCAGGCCAGGTTATTAAATGCAGTGATCCAGGCAATGGCAAGGGCAAGGAGAGAAGTGGGCTGCATCAGAAGACATGTAGGAGACGGAATCTGAGGGGCTTGGTGAGTGACTAGTGTGAGAGTGAGGGGAAGGAGTCAAGGGTAACTCCCAGGTTTCTGGCGTGGCCAACCAGGATAGCAGACATGGGGGAGGATCAGATTAGGAGGGGAACACGTGTTTGGATTTGCACATTTTGAGTTTGAGGTGTCTGTAACACATGCAGACAAGATACTGAGCAGCAGCTGGAGCCCTGGAGAGACCTGGGCTGGAGGTGGGAGACTTGTGGGTTTCAGCGGATCCATGGTCATTTAAGTCATGCAAGTGGTTGAGTTAGCCCAGGGCGGGCAGGAGACAGGCCCTGCTAGCTCAGCATTCATTGGGTGACTGAAATAAGCAGAGGCTGCACTGGCTCGGAGGACTGGCCGGAGTGGTAGGAGAGGAGTCGGTAGAGTGTGGCGTCACGGGAGCAAGAGAAGAGCGAATTTGAAGGAGGAGGAGTCCTTGTGCGACGTAGAAAATCCAAGAAAACAGGACTGGCTGACTCCTGGCTCTGCCTGTGTCACCTGGTGACGCTCGGTTTCCCGTTGCTGCGTGACAAGCTGCCTGCCACACCGTGCCGCAGAGCAGCTGCAGCCGTTTCTGTGCTCCTGTCTGTTGTCAGGGTGGAACTCGGGGGATGACTGGTGTCTGCCCCGTCACACGCACTGGGAGGCTCACTTCGGGGTTTCACTTTCAAGATGGCTCACTCACACAGCAGGCATGTTGGCACCGACTGTGGGCGGGCGCCCCGCTGGTGTTGTCTCCATGGGGACCTCGCCACACACTGGCTGGGGTCCAAGAGCAAGCACCCCAAAAGAACCCGGAGGAAGTGTGCGTTTTTATGATGGTGCCATTTCTGCTGTTCGTTGATCAGCACAGACACAGAGGTCTGGCCAGGTTCAAGGGGAGGGCACGCAGACCCCGCCCCTCCGTGTGTCTGCCCTCTGTGGAAAACACGCTCTGCCCTGGTGGCCTTGACCTCTCTCTTTGCCTTCTCCCAAAGCGAGGACGATGCCGGTTCCCACCTCAGAGGGCTGGTGCTGAAGGGAAAGCGCTCGGAGCACTGTCTGCCCGTGGCAGGTGGTGTGCGAGTGCAGCTGCTTCTGTTGGGGTTTTCTCCTGTTCTCAGTACCTGTTATCTAGCCGATGGTAAAAAAAACAAAACAAAAACTCTGCTTCAGTCTAATGTCCCACTCCAGTTACCTCACTTTCAGCCAGAATTCTTGAAAAATACTTTGTGTTCACAGTCTTCCCTTCCTCTCCTATTCATTCTTCAAACGCTAATCCGACGTTTACCCCAGCGCCCACTAAAGTTCTGAAACTCCGAGAGTCGCCACCATCTTTGTGAAGTACAAGGTGGAGTCAGCCACTTCATTCTGAATGTTGTTTTTCTTAGTTCATTTTCTTTCTTGCCCTGTTTTTTCTTCCCTCGTGCCCAGGTGGCAGGAAGTAAGTGAATTTTACCTGAAACGGTGTGTGGGCCCTCAGAAACAGGCAAGGCCTGGCTCCAGGCAGATAGTTTAGAAAACAGTCTGAAATGGGTAATTTCATGAGGCTTTATCTGTTCTGGATTTATGAGACTCTGGTAAAGGAAAACGTCTCAAGAATCTTGTAGAAGATGTTAGGCATACACTTGAGAACAGGATGAGGTCACCCAGAATGTCAGAAGAGGAACTCATTCAAGGGACGGCATGATGAGCTGGGCACACAGTGTTTAGCATGGAGTGCTTTTCCTCAATGGTGACAGTAAAGCAAAGATTTGCTTTTGAAAAGTGAAAAGACAAATGAGACCTGGGTTCCAAGACTTGGTATTATAGTTCTTCCCAACCAAATATAAATCTAACTTTTTCTTTTCTCTCTTTTTAAAATAGCAAACGGATGTGTCAGAAGGCAGCGATGATGATGTGGATGTTGATGAAGATGAGATTTTTGGTTTCATCAGCCTTTTAAATTTAACTGAGAGGAAGGTAGGTGTCACTGGGTCCCATCATTAGTCTAAAACCACTTTTATTTAACTCACGATGGAGGTGTCTTTTGAATCAGTGATGAGGAGCTGTAAGGGTATGTGCTGTTCTGAAATCTTGCTGTAATCTTTTTTCAGTATGAAGGTGTGTTTTCCTATTTAATTTTATTGTACTTTAGGTGAAAGTGTACATAGCAAATTAGTTTCTTATTCAAAACTTTATATGCAAATTGTTTTGTGACATTGGTTGCAATCTCGCAGTGTGTCAGCGCTCTCCCCCTTTCCACCCCGGGTTCCCTGTGTCCATTTGTCCAGTTTTCCTGTCGCTTCCTGCTTTCTTGTCTTCGCTTTTGAGCAGGGATTGCCCATGTGGTCTCCTATACTTGATCGAACGAAGCAGCATGTGCCTCACAGGTATCATTGTTTTATAGGCCTGTCTGATCTTTGGCTGAAAGGGGGACTTTGGGAGTGGCTTCAGGGTGTCTGCTGGCCATAGTCTCCGGGGTTCTTCCAGTCTCTGTCAGACCAGTAAGTCTGGTCTTTTCCGTCTGTGTGTGTGTGTGTGTGTGTGTGTGTGTGCATTTGATTATTGTTTTTTTAACCCGCTGTGTCTGGGACCCTCTATTGTGATCCCTGTCAGAGCCGTTGAGGGTGGTAGCCGGGCACCATCTAGTTCTTCTGGGCTCAGGCTGGTGGAGGCTGTGGTTCATGTGGTCCTTTAATCCTTTGGATTGATGTTTTCCTTGTATCTTTTGTTTCCTTCATTCTTTGCTCCGGTTGGGATGACCAATAGATGTATCATAGATGGCTGCTTGCAAACTTTTAAAACCCCAAACACTACTCACCAAAGTAGGATGTAGAACATTTCCTTTATGAACTGTGTTATGCCAATTGACCTAGATGTTCCCCAAGACCATGGTCCCCAGGCCTCAGCCCCAGTAACTCAGTCCCTCAAGGTGTTTGGATGTGTCTAGGAAGCTTCTTTGACTTTGCCTTGGTCAAGTTGTGCTGACTTCCCCTATGTTGTGTGTTGTCTTTCTCTTCACCGAAGTTAACATTTGTCTACTATCTATTTAGTGATTTCAGCTCCCCGCCCATCTCCTCCCTCATAACCGTCAAACATTGTTTTTTTCTATGTGTAAACCTTTTCTTTAGTTTTTGTAATAGTGGACTCATACAGTATTTGTCCTTTTGTGATGGACTTATTTCACTCAGCATAATGCCTTTGAGATTCATCCATGTCGTGAGATGTTTCACGGATTCATCATTGTTCTTTATCGTTGCATAGTACTCCATTGTGTGTATGTACTATTGTTTATCCATTCATCTGTTGATGGGCACTTAGGTTATTTCTATCTCTTTGCTATTGTGAATAATGCTGCAGTGAACATGGGTGTGCATATGTCTATTCATGTGACGGCTCTTAATTGTCTTGGGTATATTCCTAGGAGTGGGATTGCTGGATCGTATGGTATTTCTATTTCTAGCTTTTTAAGGATGCACCATATCGTTTTCCACAGTGGTTGTACCATTTTACATTCCCACCAGCAGTGTATAAGAGTTCCAGTCTCCCAGCAACCTCTCCAACATTTATTATTTTCTGGTTGTTCTGATTGGTGCCAGTAATGTTGGGGCGAGATGGTATCTCATTGTAGTTTTGATCTGCATTTCTCTAATGGCTAATGAGTGTGAGCACTTCCTCATGTGTCTGTTAGCCCCCTGAATGCCTTCTTTGGTGAAGTGTCTGTTCATAATCCTTTGCCCATTTTTTAATTGGATTATTTGTCTTTTTGTTGTTGAGGTGTTGAAGGTGTGTTTGTTTTATTTTGAATAATTTGTATCCAGTTACAGTCAGGTGCTCCCTGTGGTGCAGGGAACCCTGGTTTGCTTTTCAGTAACTTGTGTTCTGATGTCGGCGTTGCCCCAGGAGCTGGTTCTGTGCTGGGTCAGCTGGTAGCTGCTACCTGTAGAGTGTGGATCCCGGAAGGATGCCTTGCTCTCTGAGGTCGAGGGCACTTACTGACCTTCCTTTGTGTTTTGATTCATCTCTTTTTATTGACTCGCTGAAGAGTTCTAATAAAAAGTAAACCAGCTGCTTGTCCTCCTCAGAAGGTGATGCAGGCTATGCTTTAATTTTTTCAATGAATTTTCCAGTTACTTCCCTCTGTCTTTATGGGATGGATTAGCGACGCAGCTGCGGTGTGTGCGGGTGTTGGTCAGAACCGTCCCCTTTCCCCTGATCGTGGGCTGCGGCGTACCCAGACGTTGTCCCTTTTGTGGAATACCTAAGCAGTCTACGCTGGAGACACACAGTGTTTTCAAGGCTGTGGCAGGAAACTGCCGGTACCCAAGATGAAGAGTGCCAGCTCTCACTGTGGATTTTCCTCCTGTCAGAGAGCCTGTGATCAGAAGCAATCCTCTCTGCTTTCTAGGGGACCCAGTGTGCTGAGCAGATTAAAGAGTGGATTCTGAGCTGCTGTGACCAGAGCGGGGAAGAGAGCCTGGTTGAACAGCTGGACAAGCTGCTCCGTGACACCGCCAGGCCCGTGGGTTTCCTCCTGAGTGAAAGATTCATTAACGTCCCGCCCCAGATCGCCCTGCCCATGCACCAGCAGCTGCAGTAAGTGCCCTCCCTGAAGGGCCTCTGAACAGCGGCCTGTCCCTGGTGCGCTCAGAGATGTGGGTTGAATGGAATATGTAGATAAAGAGTTTTAGCCTTGGTGTAAGCAACAGCTCTGTGTGATGGGAGTGGGAGAAACATCCTGTGAGGAACACAGATAATGAAGCGTTGGCGTTTGAAAGAGTTAGTTATTTGTGACAATAATCTTAAGGGTGATGCTTTTAAATGTTTAAATGGTATAAAAATAGATGCATTTCACATAAATTAATATTTTACTCCCTGTTTGATCAAAGCTTTTCACCCTCTTCCCAGGTGGATTTCTGTAACTTGAATCAAACGCTGAACGATTACAGTGACAAGAACAGAATGCAGGTTCTAAATTCCGTTGTCGTTTTTGTAAATAGTGGAACCATAGTCCTGAGCCTGCCTCTCAGGCGTGTGTTTTAATGGAGCAGTTTTAAGTTTATAGAAATATGTTAAATGTAAGAGGAGCCATGAATCTCAGAGCCAGCCTGAGTGGAAGTGAGAATTGGCCTCGGCTGCGCTTTGAAATGGAGGCGGAGAGAGCATAGGTGGGCCCTCTAGTTTTCACAGAACGTTGTTTCTCGGCGGTCAGCGCAGCTGTGCTGTGGCTCCCCTTCTGCTTTCTGTAGGAAGGTCATCACAGTCCGGAAACCTTAGTGTCTCCGTTTTCCTCTGTAGATTCACCGCTTCTTGATTTTACCGCGTTCTCCGTCTCAGCTGCTACGCCTACTGCACTTGTGGTGCCATAAGCTAGTTTTTCCCCTCATCACCTGGAGCTCACGTTTATTTGGTTTAACAGGGGAGTGATCTGCTTTCTCCTGTTCTTCTGTTAAAGAAAACCGAAGTGGGTTGTTCTCTGGGTTTCTCTGCATTTTTGTTTAGGGGCAGCGGGTGCGCAGGGTCACATGTGGTTGGCCCAGGCATCACTGCCATGAGCTGTCGTGGGATCACTGCAGGACGTCACGGAGTGACGCGGTGATTACATTCTAGTGACTAGGACTGTTGTAGTCACACGCTGTAGTGACACTGGTGGCCAGATGCCTGTCAGTTGAATGTTCATTGCTTTAAAAAGTTCAGATTCTCAACTACATTTATCTTCTGAACTGGCAGTGATGGTATGCTGAGTGAATTTGTGACTCACCCGTGAGTCGCTGCATATCCACAGCTCTAAGGATAACTCACCAGAACCTGAGATTCATCATACTGTTTATTATAAAAAGTGGTGCCAGAATCAGTCCAAAGTGCAACCGACTGGATAAATAAAAATCGTTGCTTTAGGAGTGTCCAAATCTAGTGTCCGTGCATTCAGCCTGTGTGGCCCCGATCCCACTGGGCGACTGGTTTTCCCTGAGCTCCGGTTTATTGATGACCTGACCTGGCCAGCGTGTAAACGTGTGTGTGTGTGTGCCTTGCAGGAAGGAATTAGCGGAGGCGCACAAAACTAACAAGCCATGCGGGAAGTGTTACTTCTACCTTCTGATTAGTAAGACATTTGTGGAAGCAGGAAGACACAGCTCCAGAAAGAAACGGAGCAACCAGAAGACAGACGGGTTAATGTTTGCAAATGCAGAGGAAGAATTTTTCTATGAGGTGAGACCATCGTCGCATGTATTTCTGCACGTGTAAATGAGGATTTTCTTGACAGTAAAGATTTCTGGCTCTCCCGTTCTATGTCAGAGTCTTTCACGCGCAGCTGCTCTGATTTTTGTGTGTCCGCAGTAGCTAGCAGCTAACGGTGGCTGGCACATAGTCGGTACTGAAAAAATTAGTCACCTGCCCCCCACTATTGGTGGTGCAGGAGGAGAGGGGCAGCTAACATGCTCACGGTGAGTAGGCATTTCTGACCCATTTACTATGAGATCTGAAATTGAGTTCTGGAACCACCCATGAGGTGGACATTAGCCTGGTCCACAGATGTGGACACTGAGTGAGAGGTTAGATAGGGTGTCTGAGGTCCCGCGGTCGGTGCGGAAGCTGGGCTGCTCGTCCTTGGTGCTGGCCTGCGCACTGCTCCGGGCCCACCGTCAGCGGGCGTCTTCCGCTCGGTGGGATCGCCAGCATTTTCTTCCTGTGAAGTAACGTGTAGCAGGGCGGACAGCAGAGTACCAGAGAGTGCTCCTCATGCCATCCTCCTCTGCAAGAGTCTGGACGTAAACCCGAGGGAGCATGTTGTCCTGGATTGGCTGGATCACTTACTGTTTGTAAGATTTCCACTGAATACTGAAGCACTACACATTCAGCTCTGTCCTTAATTTCCAGAAAGTGAATTTTAAAAATAAAAAAATTTTCCTCGATTCTCAGCACCTAAGGCAGACCATTTAGGGAAGTGTGCGTGTCTGAAGGTGGCCTGGTTATACAGATTCCCTGGGCTTTATATCAGAGAAGCGGCTGGGAAGTGGAAAAGTCAGAAGGCTTTCCATTAACTGTCAAATTTCAGTCTTCACTTGTCTTGTCACAAGGTTATATTGAGAATTAAAGTGAGATCATAAATGAGTGACTTCCAACAGTATGTCAGTGGTGGCAGTACGAATGACACTTAGCTGCTGATTCACCTTTGAGCAGTGGGACAGCTCTGTCCGTGCCCCCACGTAGGTTAAGAACCTGTCTGGTGAGTGTTTTATAATGTCTGCCTCGATGTCCCCCTTGAGCTTATTTTATTCTGAGAGTTTTGCTTCTGTTACCTGAGGCTCCTGTTGAAATAATGCCTCACACGAGGAAGTCTTTGTTGTAGACTAAATGAGTTTTGCCCTTAGGTCGCCCGAGTTTCTAACCCATGGTTATTTATTTGGTTTAGAAGGCAGTCCTGAAGTTCAGCTACTCGGTGCAGGATGAGAGCGACACGTGCCTGGGGGGCAGATGGTCTTTCGATGACGTCCCGATGAAGCCCCTGCGCACAGTGATGCTAATCCCAGCCGACAAGATGAGCGAGATCATGGATAAACTGAAAGAACATCTCTCTCTCTAACCCACTTCCCACGGACGGTGAAGGGCTTCCCTTTGTAAAATTAGCAGAAAACTCAGTGGAGATTTACTGAAAAACTCACGACTTTATTCAGAGTAAGGTCTACAAAAAGTAGGGTTCTGCCACCCGTGTCTGTGACACGCTTACAAAATGTCTTTGTTTTTTGCATTTTGGTCAAATCATGAATGGTTGATTAAAAACTTTTTCAATAAGAAGAAAAACATGCAGGAGTAATTTGAAGAACGCAATAAAAAGTTTTTTTTTTTTTTTTTTGGAAAAATAATATGCAGTGTTATTTTTCAAGACTCCTCTGGTGTGGGTGTGATATCCTTCTTCACATTAAATACCTGCACGTCAACCCAGGGCCCAGGGGTCTCGGCACCTTTGGGATCCTTATTGCACATGGGGCTTCTGTGTAGGGCAGTCATGAACCATCACTGGAGGACGCACCTTTGTTCAGCAGTAGCTTCCGGACACTTCTCACACAGGTCTTGTTCCTTTGCCGTGGCTGGGATGGGTGACAGGTGACCCATTACTTGCTGTAGAATATCCTTACTTTCACTAGGAGGCAGATTACTGAAGTAGTATTGTGGTGCCAGTTGCATAAATCTGTTTGTTTGGAAAAAAAAAATTTTTTAGTGAGATACACCAAACATTTTGTCTGGGCACTTACCGGCCCTGGAGAACCTTCTTGGAGCTGGTATTGGATCTGAACTTGTTCGTGTTTAGTCTGCCTTTGTAGAACAAATACTTTGTGTGGTCCAGTGGCATTTCTAGAACCAGCTGGCTCCTCCTGTATCTCCATGCAGTGGAAGTGATACCCATCCTCAAAGCACTAGTAGAAACCGTATTTCCCCCAAGACCTATTACCGTATACAGGGATCAGATCATATTCTTAGGAGAACTTTGAGTGGGTAATAGAGTATTTTTACCCTTTCTTACCTCATTACTAGTACTATCCCACACCTAGCTGCTTGAGGCGGGCACCTCTGAGTTACTTTTATTTAAGCAGTAGTGGTACCTTCCAGGTGGATCCAGAATCAGTACTGCAGACGCCTCCATACTCATCGCCATTCTCACTGCCCCTACCATCCATTCTGCACTAGGCAGGCTGACCGATCTTTACACGTGTACAGAGAAGGTAATACTCTTGCTTTGTACTGCCCTTAGGATAAAGTCCAAACTCTGCGTGACCCACAAAGCCCTCCACCCTCTCGCTCCTGCCTGTCTTCTCATCTTTCCCACCCCCATGCCCCACTGGGCTCCAGCGCCAGTGGCTTCTTTGTTCCTGGAAGATGGTGATGCTCTGTGATTCTCGAGTCTGTGCTCTTGCTGCTAGCACTGTGTTCCTCCTAAGATGGCTCGTACTTTGTTTTGTGTGTCTACACTGCATTCTCTCCTCAGGCTGTGATCTCCTCAAAGGCAGGAACGTTTCTTAGGTATCGTCCACAGAGCCCTGCACTTAGTAGGTACTCAAATACTGCATCGTAAATGGAGACTGTAACTGACAAGTGTAATACAAACCGAATCTGTCATTTAGCCCTACACGTGTGACTTCCAAAGGAGCCCCTCTCCCTGCAGGGAACGTACAGCTCAGGAGAGGTGGCTGAGGTAATCCTGATGCAGTTGTTCTCCGAGATGCTGAACTTGTGGAAGAGAACCCACTCCGGCATCTTCTTGGTGAGAGAGTAGCCGGAAAGGGGATGCAGCTGAGCCACCTGCTTGTGCGTCAGCATCAGGTAGTTGCCCGACCCGTCGACGTCACGCGCAATCTACAAGGCGGGGTTTGCAGGGAAAGACTGCGTTATATGGACATCGATACGCAAAAACGGTCACCCAGAATATTCCCAAGGATTTCATGCAGAATACTTAGAACTATAAATCTGCAGCCCAAGTTTCCTATTTCCAGATAGAAAAAAAACAAAAGCCATGAACACACTGTGCCCCAGACTGAGACGGTGGTGAAGATTTCCGTCATTTCAGTGATGTCAGGGCAGCACGCTAAGACCAGGCAGCTACGAAGGTTAATGTTTTGTCCAGAAGTAAAAACTAGCATGTTCCCAGCATTTTATGGATATATTCTCCAATGTCAAGTGCTTTACACTTGATTTAGGTCATTTAGTCCTCACACAAACCCTGTGGTGGAGGTGCTTTTCTTTTCCTTACAGATGAGGACATCACACTAAAACCTCGTTTTCCTCTGTTACGAGTGCTTTAGAGATTCTTTGGGAAAACCACAGTACTTCTCGTCCTGTGACATGAACAGCACCCCCACTTCTGTAACATGCTTTCACTGGGGGGCTACGTTAGTCAGCCTTTGCCATGGCTTTTTTTCACTGGGCCTTAGTATCACCAGTTACAGCTGAACTAATTCACCAGACAGGTGAGATGGACTATATCTGAGGTTCAGCCAGAAAGAGTAGCTATTTTAACAGCTTTCCCTGTAACAAGAAAGATCTTTTGTCCTTTTGGACAAAGATAACATATTCTGACTAGGTCCTTTCAAGGGACATATGTTTAAATACCAAATCTTTAATAACATAGGGGTTTTAGTTCCATTTTTAGAAGACGCTGACATCAATAAAGGGGTCATCCTGAGCGAGAGCCCCTGGCAGCCCGCCTGGGCCAGGTGAGACCACAAACACCACGCTGCTTGGCTTCGGCCGCCCTCACCTGCATGAAGTAGCCAGACAGAAGAGCTTTCTTGATGTTCAGGATGTTCTCCTGTGAGCCAAACGCGGGCTCCGCATAGGGCAGCTCGATCCGCTTGATAATCTCTAGGAGCTCAGCTCGGACAACATCCGCCATCCTGAGCGCAGAGACGTGGAGGAAGTGGCTATGACACCAGCTTTCAACACAGTCTGGGACGGAATGGAGAACACAGGTGATTTAAGAGTGATCTGTCGTGAGCTGAGGGCCCAGCCAGCAAGGCACCTGGCCGTGTACTCGCCTTACCTAGAAAGGCGGTCACGTGAGGGAATGGGGGGAGGGCAGCAGGGACAGGGATCTGGTGGCAGCCAGATGGGCTATTCCCGGCCCTGTGAGGATGGGAGATGGTGCCAGCTGGCCATACTTAGGCCAGTGGTTGAGGGTCTGTGATCTCGTCCGCGGGAAGCGGCACGTCCCTGGTGCTGACCGCAGTCTGTGATTACCATAATCCAGGTGCAGAGGGCAGAGCGGATGGTCTGCAGAGTGACAGTGTCTCGTGTATAGAGCAAGGGCGCACGCACCCACATTCAGTCAAACTGGGAGGGAAACACTTCCAGTGTGACTTCTCTAATCCACAGAATGGCTAAGAGAAGGCTCACTACTACCCGGTTTGGGAATTCATTGTTTACAGTTAAGCTCATCTACCTACCCTAGCTGCGAATTTTATACTAAAATTCAGTCACCTGGATCGGCTTGAAGTTATCCTTTCTTGCCTCCTATAATTATTTAAGGTGGACCTGAGTTCAGCCTTGACCTGGGAACGCACACAACCTTGGTACAGCAGGCAAAGACCCTCGCTCAACCTGTCCCGTCCGCTCACCCTGTCCCTTCCGCTCAGGCCGACTGAGCAGCAGGAACACGCACTTGCACCAGCGGTGCCACCCACCCTGCTTGCCCTCAGAGGGCGCTGCCCCCCAGTGCCCCGTGCGCTTTCTGGCTCCGCTGGCAACATTCTTCTCTGCTGGGAAGTCCTGACGCCTTGCTCTCCATACTCCCTGCTGCCTTCCAACTTGCTGCTGGCCTGCTTTTCACACCATCTGTCACAGCAAAGGCACTAAAAGATGCTTCGTAGAAAGTTAAAGAGAGACCATTTCTCCTCTTAGGAAGGGCACCCCTCACTGGCCACCCTGCTTTGGGGGCCCTGACGTCTCCTCTTAGAAAGGGCAGCCCTCACTGGCCACCCAGCTTTGGGGGCCCCAACGTCTCCTCTTAGGAAGGGCACCCCTCACTGGCTGCCCAGCTTTGGGGGCCCCAACGTCTCCTCTTAGGAAGGGC